GTCCAAATTTTTTTAGCCTTATTACATGTCCACCAAATATGATAAAAAGTCCCTTCTTGTTGTTCACGTTTCCAACATATATTTGAAGCCCCTTTATACATTTTGGATAATCTTTCTGAAGATAAATACCATCTATACATCATTTTATGAAAATTCTCCTTCAAATTATAACACAGTGTAAATTTTAACCCTTTCATCCACATGTTTTCCCATTGTTCCATTTGTATATTATGTCTAAAATGTTAGCCCATTTTAGTCATCGGCTCTGCTTTTTGTGGAGCCATCTTCAGTCCACCATTTCTTCCTCCAGAAGTCAGATGTATAATTTTTAAAAATAATTCTTTAAATTGTTTCTGCCTTCAGTGTAGTACACAGTTACACATTAGCCATATTGTTTTTGAAATTTTTTTTTTTTTTTTTGCTTATTCTGGTGTCCTGAATATTTCAGTCCTCTTATGGTTCAAGATAGCATTTTCCAGTCCAAGTAATCCTCTGATATCAAAAGTCACCTATATTGTGGCAGGATAGAGAGGAGGAGGAGGAAGAGGAGGAGGACTCCATCTTAACACTTAATTAAAATGTGAAATGAAATCAACTTGTAGATTTCATGTAATATTTCCAATTGACATCTAAATGTGGTTGTTTCTCTGAGCGCTAATATGGGGTTTTATAGCCCTGTTTCTGAAACTGATGTAGTGCATGTTTTAACATTATTTTCTAATTATGCAATTGTGCCCTGTGGATCTGGAAGGTTTCCAATGAGTGCTTGGGTATTTGCCCAGCCGTCTGGTAGGAAGTTCTGCTGGGCATCTGGTTAAATGTTGGTGACAGCAGGGGAACTGACCCATCCAGTTTGCTCATCCGGAATGAGAATGTTTACAGGCTTCCAGCCCACAAGAGGTGAAGTCATTGGGAGTCCAGATATGATGCTTCTTGTTGGTGGCCCCTGCCTTGTCCTCTGGAGGGCAGAGGATTAGTGACAACTCTGGCTTTGTTTCAAAGGGTAGTTGAAACAGGGTTTTATTTGTTTATTTCTTATCCACCTTTTATTTTTGGTCAACTCAAGGTGGCATACATATCTAATGCTCCTGCCTCCTATTTTCCCTGTGAAGTGGTTTGGGCTGAGAGAGTGATTTGCCCAAAGTCACCCAGCTGGCTTTCATACCTAAGGGAGGACCAGAACTCACAGTTTCTAGCCTAGCAACTTAGCCACGATACTAAACTGGCTCTCTTTGAAAGCTGATGTTGCCTTCTGCTGGTTGCCACTATTTGATAGTTCCAATGATGATCAAAATCGATTATAGTTGTATTTTGTTTTTACTTAAATTGCTTGTTGCTTATAATATGTTAAACTATCAGTTTAAAAAAAAATTCTGATAATACAGAAAGAAATAAACGGTTTGCTATGCATTTTGTGGATGATAATTTTATATATTAAAATACTTTCTCATTGACTCATGGTAGACCATTTAGAATTACTGGATAATCTGGTTTATTTTTTTTTATTTTTCTAATATTAATTGATTATTTTGAGATTGCTAGATCCTGTTCTTTTTCTAAGGAGTTTGGAAAAATCTATGTTCCAAGTGCTCCTCCACACAGGAAAACTTGATTAATGTTAGAGGCAGAGTTTCATCACAAACCTTCACACTGTTTACTAAGCCCCAGTGTAATTTTACAATACAGCTCTTAGCACTGTTGTAGGCTAATCAAAACTGACATGAAATACTGGTTGCCAGAAACATGTATTTTTTGTTTTTCGGAAAGTCACTGAAGGTGGTGAAAAACTAGCATATTTGTCATGATGGTGCATTCCTCTGAATATCAGCTCTGGGGACAACAGCAGCAGAGTTGCTCCCTGTGTATCTTAGAGCTGCTCTTACGTTCAGTATCATTTTTCTAGGTTCTAATACGTATGAAGAGGCTGCTGCATACATTCAGTGCCAGTTTGAAGATCTGAACCGAAGAAAAGACACCAAGGAAATTTATACTCATTTCACCTGTGCCACCGACACCAAGAATGTGCAGTTTGTTTTTGATGCTGTTACAGATGTTATAATTAAAAACAATCTGAAGGAATGTGGACTCTACTAAAAGGAGAGAGACAGAGGAAGGTAAATTGTGAACACTGAATTGTAGCATTGCACAAATACAGGTAGTCCCTGGGTTAAGAACATCTATCATACGGACAACCCATAGTTATGAACAGGCTGCCAACTAAAAATGGTGGATGGCACTCCCCCCCACTATGAGCCAATGAACTGCCGAAGCCGCACAGTGCCTCCGTGAGTGTCATGAAGTAGTGCATGCGTTTTTAATGTACTGTACAGCCTGTTTTCAGCAGTTCATGAAACCATTGCATGGCTTCAGCAGTTCGTCGGCTCGAGGAAGGAGAACACTGTCCATGATTTTACCTTGCGAATGCCCCTTCTGGTATGCAGAAAGGGGCCAGTGTTGCCAGATGTCCAAAATTTTTATACCCAACACGCCCTTAAAAGTAGCCCAAAAGTAACCCAAAAAACTGCAACCCACAAATGCGAAAAATTTCCACAACTGATCTCCAAAACTAGCCCAATTGGGCAGGAAAACCGCCCAACTGGCAACACTGAGAGGGGAACAAATGCCCCTTCCAGTATGCAAGATAAGTTGGAACAAGATTACTGTAAGTGTTAATCTTTAATCATGATCTGTCTCTTTTTTTTAATCTAAGGTGTTTTAAGAACTACACACACACATGTGGATTCTCTCTTGCTCTCTCTTCACACTAACTGACACTAAATACCTGTTCTGGCTTACATACAAATTCGACTTAAGGACACACCTTGGGAATGGAACTCGTTCTTAACATGGGGACTGCCTGTATGCCATGCTTTCATATGAACTTGTGCTAATATTTGAATTTTCTTCTTTAGATTTCAGGATGTGGACTGTTTCTTTGTTGCCTTGAGACAGCTGCAAGCATGAACAGGACTGGAGAATGAAAACAGCATGCAAAACCTTTGCATTCTTTAGCACAATCTTCTATATTAGGGATATTTTACTGATATGGATGCTGAAGTTAGATTCCAAAAATGGAACTATTGTTAAGTGTGATTTTTTTTATCATCCAGGCATCACTTGGATTGCATAATTTGAAATGTGTACAGCTGTTATGAAGTTTTCATCCCAGAACTTCAATATGTAGCTTTCTTTAATAAGTCATCATTGCTCTATTTTTAAAAGTTTTTCCATCAAACTATATATTGATTAAATTTTATTTTCTTTGCAATCAACCTTACATTTTAAAAGCAAACAAAAAACACATAACTATGCACATGATGTGACCAGATCATGCAGAAAGTATTCCTCTTAGCAGGAACCTTTTGTTTTTAAAACTTGGTATGGTCAGAACTTGCTAGTATTGCAACTACTTTAAAAGGGCCTTAGAATTCTTATGGCTAAAGCTGTGGCTTACTTCTAATGTATACTTTGTCAACATTCTGCTACATATACTATAAGGCTTTCCCCCTTCCTAAAAAGATAGATTTCCTGTAGCAAGTTTAACAAATTATGTCTGGCTTATGGGTTGGGAAGGTTTAGCCTGGTTATGCTGATTACCAATTTGCTGAGTATGCAGCTGGTGTAGCAAGTAAAAATCTGATTCTTACATGAAATTTCTGAAGCGGGTACCAGTTAGCAAAGTGATTTGTAAAATTCCAAGCTGGAGGGGAGGGTATATGCTGCTACAGGGCTACTGTATCAACCACTTAATTGTTGTGTATGTGTTTGATCTTAAAGCAGTGGGGAGTTTTGTAGACAGTGGAATTAGTTCTGCATTTACCAGGGCCTTTTATCCTTAAAAGATTTTGGAAATGTACCAACAGCATGTAAATGTGGTGCCAAATTCCTGTTTGCCATTGTTTTTCTTGTAATGAAAATTAAGCAGAGTAAGGGCATTTCTTTGCTTAAACCATTACATTGAGGCTCTTTCCCAATTTTCATGTACAGTTTCAACCTGATGTAGTTATTGGCAATATTAAAATGGTGAGTTAAAAAAACTTAAGTTCCTAATTTTATTGGTGCCATTTCTAGAAATCCTTGTTAGTTTCTTACTTGCATTTCTGATTTTTGCCAATAAACATTTTAGTTAGTCTGATTAGTTATTTGCTATTGCTAAACTTTTATATAAATAGCTGTAGAGTTGTATCTGGCTTTGTGAAGAGTTCATTGGACTACACCAAATATCCAGGTAGACTTTCGCTCACCCAACAGGGTTTTCTTTGTTTTTCTTGACTGCATGCTGTCTGCATCAGCCCCTGAGAACAGATTTAAGGTATTGCAAAACAGAGGGCAAATCCAGCTGCTAGTGGAACTGATATTGCTGGCAGGACAGAAACAATTTAATACCATTTTATTGGTACTAATAAGCTTTACAGAAAGAAATAATAAAATCTGAGAATGGTGGCAAGTCAATTGTCAGTTTTTACCATTTGTTATATCAACAAGATATTACAGTGGCTATTTTGAAATCATACATTGTGCAACTTGTTACTATAATAAGTATCTTAGTAAAAAGTGATAATGGTCTATCACAAATAGGATGCTATAGATAACTGACTTACTAGGTTTCTTTCTGAGTGTACAATGGGAGGACACTCTTCATAAATGAATGAATCATATGACTCAAATCAACCATCTAAGGTGACATATACATTTTTAAAAACAGGAACATATTATTTACTCAGTTTAAGACCGATTTCATACAAGCATGAATTTAAGTGTTCAAATCAGTGAAAGATATTGTATAAATAATATATTGAGCCATTTTAGTTCCTATAAACAGCATATGAATCACAGCAGATGTCTTTGAAAACAAAAATGTGACGAGTTGAAGAAATTACGTTTCAACAATGCACCCATACTTTTTAATGCAAATTTATTTTTATCTCTTACATTTATTTGAAGCTGCATGAGGAATTATTTGCAGTACATCTTAATACAGCCAGAATCTTGTCTAACAATACAACTTTTTTACAAATGTTCAGAAACAATACAGCTCTACATAGCAGGATGTATTTCCTTTTTGTATCCCTCTGTTCCCTGTGTGTGTGTGGAGAAGTTCTCTGCCCCTGTAATGTCAGTGGGTTGAGGTTGTATGTGTGTTTCCTTCCACAGGATTAGTGAGACAAGTAGAGAAGATGTCTCCACAGTCGGTATTAAAGCACCGCTGTTTAATTGGTGTGGGGAAAGAGACCTATTCTGGGTTCACTGAATTGGATACTAGAAAACATGTTTTTTATTTAAGACACTGGGGACTAATTGCACCAAGTTTCTGACAACTGCAGATAGATTGTGTGTTTAATCTATTTATAATAGGTTTAAAATTGGAAAATGCCTCATTTCTTTTTGGGCTTAATATTTATCATTTGACCACATATACAATATACAATTTTTGGACTTGGACATTCAGACGATTGGTTTTAAAATGAACAGTTCTACTGAACAAGACCCAAAAGCATTGATTATGTTTTTCCTGTGAAAGAATTATGGCTTTTAAAAATAGTTAAATGCGGAGGTTCAGTGTTTGACATATAAATTCACTGTTTGTAAACAAGTTTGTCTTCACTGTTGTTCATGTTACAGTTTCCACTTTTAGAGATTGTAGAGTACTTCAGAAGAGAAAATTATCAGAGAAAATGATTCAGAAATGGGAGACTCATAACTTTTTGTTCCTTTAGGCTTTTCTGATGGCATGTTCTTGGTAGAATTGTTTATCTTGGGTGGGTTATGGAGAAGTGTGGATTCCTGAATGACTGTTTGCTCCATTGGCTCTGCTCAGCAGAATGGTGAAGCTAACTGGAAGCCCTTGTTCCTGATTGATGAAGGTGAGATAATATTTTGACAAATGAAATCAAATTACATTTAAACTTGATGTTGTCAAAAGGATGTCAAAGATATAGGGATGGGTTGTGTACATACCTTCAGAAGTTTTTAACCTTCAACCCTATCACCCTAGTAATCATGTTCAGTGGCCATGGCATATGCAGTCTGGCAATAACTGCAGGTTCTGCAGATGTTTTTTGGGAAACAACTGCATTCTTACGCATTTAGTACTGTGTAAGCACTTTGGCTGATATTGAAAGAGCTAAATCAAATCGTAGATGGCTAGTTCTTGGTGGGGGGGGGGCAATCAGGAAATCCCAGGTATATAGCTCCATTGGAAGATTGAAAAACATCCTGGAAGGGCCTACCACTTCCATGCCTTTTCCAATCCTGCTTTCTCCCCCCATGAATGTGTCCATGTAGTTACTATAGAATAAATAGTTGACTCAAGGGAAACTATTTTACCTTTAAAAACTCCCTAGTCCTTTACTGGGTGCCAGCTTTAATTTTGAGTCAGAACTATAGTATTACATTTCGAGCAACTTTCCATCCAATATGAGGTGGTTTTGTAATCATATGGGAACTTGTTACCTGTGATTGCTTTAAAATTGTTCTTCAGTTGCATTAGTATCTTCAAACGTGCCTCAGAAATAATTCCTTAGACAAGAATTTGGGCATAGTACTAGTCTTCTGATGTAAAGTAATAATTATTACAAATTACTATGTCAGAGGAACTGAAATAGCAGAGTACTTGCATAGTTTCAATGCAAGCATCCTGTTGCAGTTTAAAACTGCTGCTTCCTATTACAAAGCTCAGTTGACTTGGTTACTGTTTTCATGTAGTTATTATGCACGTTTGAATTTAAGTACTACTGTTCAGAAGTAAGTGTGGTTACAAGCATAAGTAAGGAAATGCTGAAGTATACTTATTCCCTGATTCCTACTTTAGGAACAGATAAGTGAATGTAATTACCTTTTTTTTAAAAAACTGTAATCTTAGAAGAGACCACAGTCCTTTAGGTTCTCTTTGATGATTACATCTGTTACTGCATCAAATACAAATTTGACATTCTGTGTATCTGTGGCACAAGTCATGTGACTATAAATTTCTTTTGCATCTTTTCTCATGTTTAGATCAAGAAACTGAAGCTTGATGTAATTGCCTGCATCTTCAAATGTATTGGGGCCTGTTTGGGGAAAGGAAACAGGGAAGAATATAAACATGTAGTTGCTAAAAAGTACCACTTATTGCTTGGATCCTGAGTTGCTCATTTACAAGAAGAGCCTTGGATCAAATAACATTCTGCTGGTGGAAGTGAAAAAGAAGTGATATATATGTTGCCTTGAACTCCAGGAGGAAAGGCAATGTAAATGTTACAAAATTTGCTTAGTACTCCTCCATACTATTGCTTGAGTTGTCCAAGATGATTCCCAATCCTTGATTAGATTTTGAGGGGGTAGGTAGAATCACTAACAGATTTCTTGCACCAGTGGAAATATCCCATGCATTTTTCAATTCAATTGTATGCATTTCCATCTGCATCTTGGAATTGATGCAGAACTTGAAATGATTTCTTATGTAATACTAGTGTTTATATTAATTCAATGTGTCAACCCACAACATATTTTATTGTCAGAACTGTTACAAGCAGTTCTTGAGTTGAACAGAAACAAACCAATAAAAATGCTTGTGCTCCCAGTTCCTTTCATATGAAAATTATATAGCATAGGAAATAACACGATGAAACATTATGTAAATTGAAATGGGTAGTTCTCTTTAACAGTAAGCCTGACAGCAGTAGAATGTGACTGCAGTAACTTAAATCTTAAGGCTCTAAAGAAGTGTAATACCTTTATTGTGTTGTTTCATAGAGCAAGCAATTTTTAAAACCAGTTGAATAAGTTGTATATATGTGAATTTGTGATTGAATTGATACCTTTCAGTTTCACGAGTAAATTACTTCAAACCTAGCACCTTGTTCATCAATGTGTAAAACATGTTCTTCCCTGGTTTTCTTCAACCTGATCCTCACCAAATATATTGGACTGCTATGATTTCAAGCCAGCATAGCTGTTGGACATGCTGTTTGGGAATGATGGTAACTGAATCTATTGCATGTGGAAGTTACTTAGTTGGGGAAACTGCCCCAGCCAACTGAACGCTGGTGTAAGAGAAAAGCCTTTCTCTCATTTAGTTCTTGTATCAAATACTTTGGCTGTCATAAAAGTGAGGAAAATGTTCTAACTCACCATCATAATCAGGGAAGCAAATGCTGAGATGTACTTTCTTGATTTTTTCCTCAAAGAGGTCCTTCTTGTTCAAGAAAAGAATTATGGAAGTGGCAGCAAAGAACTTGTGATTACATATACTGTTGAAGAGATGCAAAGATTCATGCATGCGGTTCTAAAGAGAAGAACTTTAAAAAGTTAAGCTTAAAAGGAACAATGGTACCTGAGGCCACCTAACATTTTATTGAATATTCTGATTGTAGAATAAACTTAAGCAAAAAAAATAAATATTTCAATGAATGTGCAAAATGGATGGTATACAGTCAACAGTGATGGGAGCATAGAAGTAGTGATTAAGTAAAAACTCAAATTCCTAGAGATGATAGAAGGCTCCTAAGATTTAAATAGCTTGTTTCTAGAGTATTAACATTTCACATTGAAAATTGCAAAACACTATCAAGGAATAAACAAAGGATCATATATAATTGCTAATATTAAAACAATACTTCAGATAACTTACACAAGAAGTGTGTTGGATCCAGACAAAATGTATGTGTCTCAAAGGAGCAGCCCCTGCTGTTCCCTTTGTTTGCTGATCTAAATGGTGTATTTTCCCCCAATGCACTTTGGTTTTAGATTACAAAATAATACTGATCTCACAAAATTGATTCTATACCTTATCACTATCAACCTGCTACATTTAGTCAAAGCGTTTACTCTTTATTATTAACTGGAAGATAAACATGAGCTGTTGAAAGAGGTGTTTCTATGGCTTTGTCACTCCTAATTCCAGTGTGGGGAGGCAATACTGAAAGGGAAAGGCTGCATCCTTCAATAATCTCCTCACAGTCTAAGCAACTTTTTTAGGGTGGTGAAAACATTGACATGTTGAGGTCATGCTAACATAAATTGGCTGCCCTGATGGGGCTTTAACATTCACAAATGGTTGCTCCAGTGGATATGTCTAATAACAAAGGAGTACTTGATCCAGGTCATCATCTAGTCTCTCAGGATGCTCTTTACCATCTAGCTTAGCTTTGACTTCTTTCTGGACATTGGACACACCTGTAAACAAAGTAATGAGCTGTAGCCACCCACCCATTGATAGTCTTTTAACTCCAGTGGAAGAACATTGGGAAGAAATGTTGTGAAGATGCTCAGGAGACTGTCCGTTGGTCTGTTAACAGGATAACTCTCTAAAAATTGAATGAAATGGGACTAAATTTTGGGTGGGGAGAAAAATTAGCAGAATAAAAATTGAGTTTAAAAATGAGCTTGATCTGGCAAGGGTCAGTGGAGGAAAAAACTCCCACAATGCATCCCCATGGGAGAGAGACCCTTTGGCAGTGGTTTGATACATTGCTGACTCTTCCATCCTAAGCCCCCTTTCCCTCCTGGTTGCATTATTATTGAATTCCAGAAACCATGCTCTGCATACTTTCCCCACCTTGTTGTTTTCTAAGAACATCTATGAACCCTGGTGAAGGGCAGAGACATTCTTAGAAATAAGGATGATGCTGAAAGTTATGACTTGGTTTTGTTGCATGCCAGCTTTTAATTGTTGTTAAAAGCATATTTTAAGTGCTTGCCAGAGGAAGTATCTGTAGATATTGGTAGCTTTCCCCCAGTTACTGAGAAAGCAGCTGTTGGTTTCCGCAAATCCTTTTTAGCTATCTTATCTCATTTTATGGAGAGTCTCCTGTCATCTGCAATTCAGCTTGCTGAAAAATAAGCAACTAACATGTTTTTATAGCTAGCCAATCTAATGTGTGGGTGGGTGATCCTTCAAATAGCTTGGGCTTGAATTAGAGCAGCACAATTTTGCAAAAAACCCTACTGACTGCCTTTAAGTTCCCTTAATTTTCCCTTCTCTGATTTTAATCAGGCTGCTAATGCAATTATAAAATTCTGGCATTCTCTATTAGTATGGCGTGAAAAGGGTGACTCAAGTGGGGTTTATCTATGTGGCTGATGAATTTCAAAGCCGAGTCAGGTATGTGTTTGGCCCTGGAATTGTACTTCATCGTGTACAGTTTGAGCTAATAAACATACCATTTCATCATCTTCCACCAAGACCATATCATATGCACTAAGAGCTCCACAGAAGATGATGCAGGTCACCCCTTCAAAGCAGTGGATCCACTTTTTGCGCTCTGATCTCTGCCCACCTACATCAAACATTCTGAAGAAAGAAGAAACATGCATATGACACTGACGCTGGAACATTTGAAGCAAGGAAAAAACCATCCTACAGCAATGTAGTTTCAATGGACAGATGTTTGGAACTTTAGAAAGATGGACATTTACTGTCCATCACACTGGTTAAAGATGCATATTGCAACAGCTAGTCAGCCTCCCACAATCTGCACACGTGTAGGATTTCGGCCCATAATTTCCAAACATTCTGGGTCTTGGAGATTATGAGAACTGAAGTGAAACTCATTTGGAGGAAACCAACTTGGGGAAATCGACAAAGATGTGAAAATGATCCTACAATGTAATTTGGAAAAGTACTTCCCATTTTTCAGTCAAATATTTAACAAAAAATTGAAACAGTATATATCAAATTACAAATCAAAAACCTTGAAAAGTTAGGCCTTTGCTAGGTGCACAAAGACACATAGCGTTAAGGCTATTCCTAAGAATGCCCGGCTGCTAATGGCCAGCTTTACATTAGGTAAAAAGGTGTGGCAAGAAGACTTCTGGATGCTGAAATGCACTGCGCAATGAAATGTATACAAGAGGAGGAAAGGCAAAATAGAACTAAAATAGGATTTGTACATCCTGGAAATTGGTTGGAGAAAATGGGGAAAAGGTTACCAAGGAAGATATTAAGAGGTTTTGCTCACCTGAAATTGAGATCCTTGACAGAGAACTTTGTCTCTATGATACCTGTAGTCTTAACTCGAGATCGCAATACATCCTGTTCATTGGGAAGGTAGTTGGGAGCTGTGATCCTGTCCAGCTGATTAAGATAGCTAGAGCAGAATGAGATGCAGATCTGGTTTATAATATCTAAGCATGGTGTAGGATTATATGATAGTGTGTGTGTTATATGCCACCTATATTTTAACTTTATAGGGCTTTTTCAAAGGTTCCTAGAGCTTTAATGGCTTGAGCAGGATTCTGAACCCGTATCTTCCAGAAATATCAAACTGAAGTTACTGGGAATTAATCTCAACATGTTCTGCTTTCCTTTGTATACCACTAAGGAAGATGTGCTGTAAGCATTGGTTAACACCAGGCTAATGCAGCAAGGACAGAATAGGCAAACATTTGCTCTTTGAGGTTTTGTTAGGACCGCACAGTAATTGCAAGTTATTATTCTGTTAATGCTAACAGATTAATGAACAGATTTTGACCATTTATTCTCCAATGTATTGTATTGTCTTATGTATTTGACTCTACTTATCCTTATGGTTGCATAAACATTCCTTAATGCAGCCTTCTCCAATTTAGTGCTCTCTAAATATATTGGATAATAAATCTTGTTACCCTCATGGTGGCTGGAGAAGATAGGAACTATAGTCCATCACATGGAAGGTACTAGCTTGGGAATGAAGCCTTAGAGGATTTAGTAGACCTCTGTTGCAAAATGCTAATTGGCAAAAAGCAAAGGCACAATTTTTAGTCAGCAAGGCCAGTAAGAATTTGGAGGAGTGTGCATCCGTGTCATATCTATATATTGTAGCACAATTTGCTAAATTGCCCTTTGAAATTGAACTGAATATTAGTACAGAACTATGCAAGTAAGCAGCTTGAATGTTTACCCAGATGTTTGTACCCAAAGCCAAATGCACAATGAAATTCAATAGCTGATATCAGGATTTGCAGTCCCAGAGGTTATTCATAACTGACATATTATTAGATTATAAAGTCATAGAAAACTAGCAGGCTGTATCTTGACTTACTTGCTTTCTCCTAAATCAGATATGAGTAACAAGTATCCCTTGGGCTGTGAGATACTTTATTCAAAATGTTCACTAGCTTCCATTGTACTTATTCAAGACTGTTAACTGGGATGTCTCCTTCCTGAATTCTCTCCTACCTTCCAGATTATTTCCTGACGGGCTTCAAAATCCTGACATTCCTACTAGCCTTTTCCTTCCTAAAGAGTTTAGGAAAGCAGTAATTGAAAGCTGAAAACAAACATAAGAAAACATTTTCACCTTTATCTTAACCAACTACTCCCTGAGAAATCAAAATACACATCTTCAGAAGAGGATTTAGAAAGCCATGCAAGTTCTGATCAGTGCTGATTTATTGATGAAACAAATACTAGATCCCATGTCCTGCTGCAATTAAGTCTAAAGTTGAAAAAAAAAGCATTTCCTTTGTTTAACCATGCCTCCACTTCTACACTCTTCCTTTGCCATTTACTTCTATCCAGTTTTAGAATTAAGTCTTCCTTCCTTCCTCCTTCCCTCCCTCCACTCAAGCAGGTGAGACTTTAATAGCTGAAAGCCAACCTCAATGTCATCTCTGCATGTCATTATATTAACTGCATGTCTGGATTGTTTTACTATTAATTTGGTGGTGTTGAGCTCTATCCATACTTCTACATATCCAGAGTAGCTGTGGTTTGCACAATTTGTGCAGGGGATTTCAACTATGTTCAGTGGCTTTGTGTTGCCTGGTACAGTTATAGAGCCATCAGGTCCACTAGTGATGTGGCAGCGAAAATTGCACAAGACTTGTAAATGGGGACTCTTGTCCATTTCTACTTCAGGCATACTGAGCATATGATGTATGTGCAATGTAGAGAACAGTTTATCATATACTTGTCTTTCTTATTTGTAGAAAATTACATAGACTCCTTCTCCCCATCACTGAAACTTTTCTGCTAGAGAGGGTGATTAATCCATCAATATGCAGTGTAATAGCCAGGTACATCAACCTGCTTATAAATATTAATCCAGCCGACTTTTTTAACTTGTGCACATGCACACAAATATTTAAAGAAAGACCACCATGCTGGAAAACAAAGCAGCTACTTCTACCATCTTGTAGAATGTTTGGAAATGGGTCTACTTGACTAGACAGAAAACAAAAATAAGCTAGGGTGGTTAGGAGCATGCTGGGGGCTGGAGTGAGTGGCAGGGAGCAACCTGCCTTCTGATAAATCAATGCTTTCATGCTCACTATGGTGGCCTTTTTCTGAAAGCGCACACAACATGCTTTCAGAATTACCAATGTGCCCACCAGTTCAAAAGCACATTAGGACTAGTACAATAAAATGGGTGTGCCCAAGTGCATGGGAGCAATCTCAATTAACTAATGAGGATAGAGGATGTAGGAACAAATATGATTGGCCCCATCCATGTTATTGGGGTAGTCTGTAGTTACTATTTATATTCCACTTTCTACAGTATTGTAAATCTAAGAATAATTGTAAACTATAGTATATACAATAGGTTAAACAGAATAAAAACAGGACATTCGTTTAAAAAACATGGGAGAGTAAAGGAAAATAAAAACCAAACACAACATTCAGGGAAGGCTTGGGTGTAAAGCAGGGACCTTTTCTTGTTTAGAAGTTGGTACAACCATCAAGATGCTTCTGGCCACAGCAATCACTTGTGGATCCAATGATGATGAGTCTAGGAGCACCCAAAGCTATGTACCCATTCTTTCTGAGGGAATACAGCCATAATCACAACTAACAGACTCCCTAATTCTTCAGGATTCAGCCTTAACTTCTTGGTCCTCAACCATATCATCACAATCTCCAGAACAAGCACTATGTCTCCTGATTCAGGCATTATAGAAAAGTAGAGCTGAACATCAACATATTGACAGCATTTCCCCCTGATGACCACCCCATTGGGATTAATATAAAACTTGGTGTTATTACACCAAAAAAAAAAAAAAAAAGCTGCCTAGGGACTGGGACACTCTGAGACCGGGACACTCTGGGACCATCCCTATAACTAGGAGTGAATTGCTATACCATAGTATACTGGGTCTGCCCCAACCCCCCCCCTCCCCAAACTTATGGAGATGGTCCAGGAGGATATGATGATTGACAGCATCCAAAAGTGCTGAGAGATCAAGCAAATTCAACAGAGTTGCTGTCCCTCTGTCCCCAGACCAGGTTAGACTGAAAAGAGTCAATTTTGGGGGGGGGGGGGGGCCTTCAAGTCAGTGTTGACTCCTGGTGACTGCCTGGACTAGTCACTGCAGTTTTCTCGGCAAGATTTCAGATGTGGATCGCCAGTGCCTGCTTCCTAGGCTGAGAGAGTGTGACTAGTCCAAGGTCACCCAGCTGGCTTCATGACTAAGGTGGGACTAGAACTCACAGTCTCCTGGTTTCCAGCCTGGTGCCTTAACCACTATACCAAACTGGTCCTCCAAAAACTTCTGCAGTTGTACCAATACTATCCTCTCAAATATCTTGTCTCAAAATTTGTATTTGTGACTGAGTCTTAGTTTATGAACTTAGCTGATGAACTCCTCTGGATTTAGGAAGGACTTTTTTTTCAGGAATGGGAAGACCATTGCTCCTGCTAAGATCAAAGGCAGTACTCCCTCAGCAAGGTTTGCAGGATGTCATCACACAGAAGCAGGTGTCGTACCATTTAGCATCTGTGTGAAGGGGAATATAGACTTGGAGGTCCTGGTTCAACACTGGAAAAGAAATGATCTCTTAGTTTCATGCTGTTCCAAAGTCTATTTTTAGGACAACACATGTTCTGAAAGTGATTAGGAAGAGGTGATTTGGAATATGTGGGCACACAAACACAACCCTCTTTGAAGCATCCAGGTAGCTGCTTTAAAGAGAGGCCGAACTCATTTTCCACATATTGTGAACCATCTCTCCAAATCATTTTTGAAGCATGCACAACACAACTGGTTTTATTTGAAAAGACAGCAAACTATGCAAGGATAAATTCCTATTATCAAGCATCACAGTACATGATATTTGTGCAAACTCATTATCACAATCCTTTGAGAGGGCTTAATTGCCTTCCCAATATGGTAATCCTTCTGTTGATGCAATAGTCGGCTCAGACTTACTATGCAGCAGAATCATTGAGCTGATATTCAGCTGCTCGCTCAAAGCAGGCTTGAACTCCTCCATCACTCCAAAGTCTCTTTATACAGTCCACTAGTTCTGGGGGCATGGTGCCTTCTTCAGTGGAGTCAGCCAAACTGAACAGCTGCCGTGAATCATCCTATAAAGACATGGAGCCCATGAGCACAACCTTGTTTCCTTGGGGGCTTAAGAGAAGGCTGGATATGGAATTCAAGGCTTGATGTTCATCTTCATGTGGTTATGAGGTCACCTACACAAGATGTCCACTTTTTTCAGTTGGGAAGTTCTAGCTTGCAAAGACAGGCTTCATTAGAACCCATAGATCAAACTAGGAAACACCAAAGCAGAGAAGCAGAGAGAAGGAAGAACACTACTCTTACTGGGAGAAAAAAAAATAGAAGAAAGTAATAACTCCAAGTGACAATATATCAGCTTCCTTCATCATGGGAGAACTTTGATTGGTCATGGCTTGTCCACCAAAGGAATTTCCTCTTGTGGAATGTTATGAGAAGATGGGAAGCTGCAAGGATGTTTGGTGGGCAGATTGGGAAATGCTGAGATGTAGGAAGTCTTGCAGAAAGGCTGTCTGCACTACTATTCAAAAAGAGTGTTGAGTGCAGTTGCTGTCCATAAAGCAGTTATACTTTCTACATGTCATCACTTTGTTTCCATGTTGCTGCTCAAATGAATGGATATTGTGTATTGCCACTCTGACATCATCTGTGCAGTGGTTTGTTCCAACATGGCATATTTTCAGTAACAGATGGGGTTAGCTGATGTCTTGCACATTTTCAGCAGTATCTTCTCATTTCTTCTTTTTAAAAGTACATTGCTTCCTGTTATGAATTGTGAGAGGTAAGACTGTTTTGAGAATAGCCGCAGATACAGCTAGACATCTGAAGCTGGTCCTGGCGTAATTATTCTATGAATCATAGATTCATAGAATAATTGCACATTGATGGATAGGAAACAAATAATGTGCCCCAAGACTTTTCTTTAACCACCAGGTGGCACCATCCACAGCTGCTTCACTTCCAGGGGAGAGCTGCGTTTAGGTTGTTGCAGCAAAAAAAGTGAAGGGTTGTGTTTGTACAACACACTTACCCACGGTTAACAGAACCATGGTTTAAACAGCTTACCCAATGTCTGGAGTTGCCTGGAACACTGAGCCGTAAGCGAACCACATTGTCTAGGTTCATATGCTACACAATTCATGCTACGCTAAATTAAAATGTGTTGTTCACCATGCCTTGTGTTCCAGACTAAGAGATTTTGTGTGGCATAAGTTTTTTGGAACTGTTTGCATTGGTACTGAAAAGCAATGTGTTTTTGAGTGTGTTTGCTTTCCATAAAGGATCTGTACTTTCTGCATGTTATCACTATTTAACCCCTACACCCCTGCTCTGAAACTGTGGGTTTATATATCCTTATATGTTGCTTCTGAACATAGTACATATGTTAATCTTCTAGAATGCCCTCCAATTTTAGTTGTTTATAAAGGTACGTTCTTTGGTTTTCTATATTTTAAACTGTAAGAAAAATGTGCATAGTCCATAAAATAAAATTTAGTGAAGCAGCATGCTATTTATTCTGGACTATTACTTAAGTATCCCCTGGAAATATAGCTTGGACACAAATTAGGAAAAAAAAAGTTGGTATCAGTCTCCTCGTCTCACATATATACAAACACACACAGCAACTATGTTCCCAGCCTGATCAGCTTAAAAACATTTTTCCTATATAAGAGGAAAAAATTGCTCTGTGCTCCACCCAGGGGCACCTGTGTGTGTGTGTGGGGGGGGGGAGGGTAGGGGGTGTCAAAAAAATCAAGAGTTCAGTTACACAGTAGTGGGCACCATATTTCCTTTTTTGACACCTCCAACCGCCCTGACTCTGTTATATCCCTATTTCTAGCCATTTTCATTGCCTTCAGGAGAACACTGGGTTAGAAGTACAGTGTGCTATTAGAAACACTCACCCCTCGGCTGGACTCAGCATAATCTATTCCCAGAGTAGACATTGCCCTGACGATTGCTAAGATGGACTGTAGTATGTTGCTATATATGATTGCTTTGAACTCCATACATTCTTCTTCTGTATAACCATCTTGATGGATAATCCTGTAGGATGAAGAGAAAAATCCAGGTACTGAATGTTAAATGCCATCATAGATTTTATTTCAAAGCTTTAGTCCTATTTTTCTCTTTGCTTTTACTCTCCACCTGCCAAGGAGCCTGCGCATTTCAACAAGAATTGGAGACAATTCTGAGTATTGTACTCAGTGAAATATTACTCAGTAAGTGAAATGTTAACATCTGGTGGAGTTCATTTTATCTAAACCATTGTCACTTCTGCCATTCCCTCTTAACATTCTCAGCATCATGACTTCCACATCAACTTTCTCTCCCTTCTCCCCAATTCTGCTTTTTGTAGCAACCCACCTAACAAAGATCTTGAGCGCTTAGTTTGTTTCAAGTTATGAGTGCTACTGTCAGTTTGGGTAATTAAAAACATCAGCTTGGTACACCAGTTTTCTACTGTAGAAGGCTGGGCAGAGCTTCTGATTTGGGTTCATGCATGAATGAGAATGTACCTCTTGTCTGCAACAGGTAAGAGCAGCTGCATTTCCCCAAGAAGGTGTTGCTGAGTAGGCTACATTCTTGCTCCCATGTGCTCTGAAGCACTTTTTGGGGTTTAAATCCCAAGTGCTACACTATCCTAATTGTAATACTCAGTTGATGAGGAGATTTCTTGTACCAATAATTCAAAGCTTGTTCCTGCTAACTGGACACTCTATCTTCAGTGTGGTTTGCACTTGCCTAGAATCACTCTGGTCTTAAACCTAGTTTAGTTCCTACAAAATTCATAAAAAACCTAGTGAAAACCATGCTAAAGGAAGAGCTACACAACTGCACCTGCCTTTAAGTGTTCATTTCCATCCACCAGCCTAAAAGAATGACCATCCTGAACTTATGGGAGTTCTCTAAACCATATGCAAGTGTGCAGCTATTGATTGGTCTATGCCAAGCTGTGGTATGAAAAAGCATTTCCTCTTGATCCTGCTCAGAATCAATTTATGAAGCAAGCAGTTGCTACTTGTTGTCCTCACTGGGTTTAACTACATGCTATTTTTATTTGTGTCCTAAGCCTTCCATAATCCGTTTAAGTTATCTGCTTCAGCCCACTCCTGCTGCCAACAACCTGAAAAGCATCTATAAATATGAACCAATGTGGAACGACACCTCACTGAAAATGCTACTGGGTACAGCTAACATTTGAGCTCCTGATTGCTGATCTTGAAGGTGATACTCACTTCATCTGTTTGACAATTGTACTTTTCCCTGACTCACCAGCACCTGGAATGAGAAACAGTTTAATGTCAGAATCGCTTTGCAGACAAATGGGGGGACACTCTGAGTTAACTATGTATTGCTTTCCTACTGCAGTAACTGTCAGATCACAACTGGAAATATATCCAATTACTGTATCACTGAGCTTACTCATGTAGATCAGTCATTCTATTAGGGCATGGTTGGTTGGTTTGCTAATAAACCATCATGTCCTTGTTCGTACATAACATATACATAAAGACTCAATAAGCTTGACTTTTGGTGACTCAGTGGACTCATTCAGGTAGTCTCTTTTGCAACAATATTAGAATGGCTTGCCACTGCTTCTTCCAGGATATTTTTAAACTCCCCTGTCTTACCTAAGTTCTGACATTTCTTTGTGGTCTCTCATCCAAGTACTAAATACCCTGACACTCCTAGTATCCAAGCACAGACAACAGGCGTGATAACTAGACCATATACCATGATTTACAAGAAATGGTTAGATTCATGCAGTCCACCAAGGCAAAAGTAAAAAAATAAAATACTCATATTATAGCTTAGTGCAACATGAGAGATCAGCCATTATGACTGACCTATCATAAAGACAGCATAACATCATGGGGAACATATATGATTTTCTGTGAAGGAGGATCAGTGATCTCAGAAGACTCTTCTCTGATGTTCATGCTTAAGTTAATCTTATTACAGGAGAGCAGGTTGGCTGCTATAGTGCTTGAACCAGCTGAAAAAAGGTGATACTTGTATGTGAAATAGTGACTTAGCTCAAATACAATATTAAATCATATCTACTGAATGGACCACAGTTGGCTAAGCTTCTGCAACATACTGTTAACAACATAAACCAGTATGTTTCACACAACACGTTAAGTTCAAACTAAACTATATTATGGATTAATGTAGTCTGTAGTTCCCGGCTTCATACATTGTACTAAGCCATAATATGATTTGTTTGATCTTGACTTAGTGTAAATTCAGCCACTGCGTCTTGCTCAGCAATCTGATTAAAACAAACCTTGGCTAAGTAGGATGTGTCAGCTGAGCCTTAAAAACCCAACTAGTCTAAAGGCCCAATAAAAGGGAGCTAGTCCTTTAACTCCCCAAGCTGCGGAAAGAACAGCCTTTGTTTTCCCATTACACCAAATGCTTCTCTTTCTTGGGCCAAACAAATATTTTTAAAGCTGCTCTCGGTCAGGCAGGGCCGAGTCTTAACAAATAATAGACAAATGTTAAATATATATGAATTATTTCTGCACCACTCAGAGTTATGACAACACTGAAGGAAGTGCATGTTAAAGATACAATGAAGGCACTTTAGGAATGTTTTTCTCTGGGAGGACCTCCAGATCCACCCAAGCATGATCCATGTTTTCTTTACTATCTGCAATCTGTGGTGACATCGTGATGGTATGGTCTGGGTCATATCTCTATGTTTGCAAGCCTAGAGCTGGCAGAGGGCATCCATTACTTCTCTTTTCTCCTTTGAAGCTGGCCAATGCTTGAGCACAGAGAAGGGGCTGCCAGCCAGTGTTCAGCTGCTCTCTTCCAAGCTGAGCAGTAACCAAGTATCTTATCATGCCTGCACAGGTTCCTCCTGGTTTATGATTAAACAAGGATCTCTTCCCCCTTCACAGAAGAAAAAGAAGTGGCTTACAACAACCCCCCTCTACATTTATTTCTGTCCATTTATTCCTTGTTTTGCCCAAAATCCCAAATTTGAAGAAAAGCCATGTGAAGGAAGACCAGTTGTAGAAAATGGGAGCCAAAGCAACAAGAGCTCTCAAAAGCTTCTGAGACACCCTGGAATGAGACCTCCACTGCATGGTGAACCCTGCGACTGAGACTTGAAATGGGGCTATGCCAGCATTCTGCATTTGAGCACCTTTTCTAACAGCTGTGACCATGCCATGTATTGCTATGCCTAGCTGACTGGGAGGGAGAGCAGTAAGAATGAAGAAAGATAAGCTCTCTGCAGGTACACTGAAACCTCTAGGAGCCAGGTGATGAATCTCCTTATAGGGGTTGGTTATGACCATCTTGCTCTAGAGCAGTGTTTTTGAAACTTGGCCATTTTATGATGTGTGGACTACAACTCCCAGAATTCCCCAGCCAGGGAATTCTGGGAGTTGAAGTCCACACATCTTAAAGTTGCCAAGTTTTAAAAACACTGTTCTAGAAGTGTTTCTAGAACATGGACGCCTTATAAAAGACGAAGGATTATACTTTAACAGCATGAAGTGCCAGAAAGGAACATCAAAATGGTTGTGGGAGTTACTGTGACATGCAGTCCTTTAAAAAAAGTCACACTAATTATTAAGGAGGAAGTTACCATGGAAATCAAATCCGATGTGGGACTGCTTACTGTGTGCAGCTTCCTTATGCAACCTCATTGCCTTTCCTCTGTAACTCTTTGTTGTAAAATTTGGGAGTGCCTTTTCAGTCTTCCCAGATTTGGGCGTCAGCTGGAATTAGAGATCAGGCAGATGTGGACTTCTTACATTGGGACTGGTCTGGGTAGAAGCTAACATGAATAGGATTGGGATATAAACATTCAGAGGTCTTTTTTTAATAATGTACCTGGAAGTGCTCAAGTAGACTGATAATATATGGGCCAAGTCTGATCATGTTTTCCAAGGCTTTTCAAATGATTTCTAGTGTTACCTTCATTTATAACAGAATTGATTATTCACACAGCTTGCATACAAGAATCCCTGCTACAATACAAGTAAGCTTTTTCTATGAAATATGGAACACATATCTGCGTGAAATATTTGCATATATCTATCTCCATAAAAATATTCTAGAAGGCTACCCAGTGATGTAAAAAACTCATATGGATTCACTGTTATCAGAGTTTTCTACAGTAATTTTTCATTATATGGAAATACTTGCCTTTTGATGACCATGACATTTTGTTAACAGGAATAAGTAAGATCTTTAGGCTTCAGCCCAATACACACTTAGTTTGTATAGATACTGCCAAATTTAATGAGTTTTAGTTCTACATAGACATATATAAGATTGTACTGTAAATGTTTTCTCCCTCTGTGTTTGACTATACCTACCACTACAGTTCCAATTTTAGTGAGGACTAATAGCCCTAAGCTGAAACATCATTGTATTAAGCTGGGTTATTAAACATTTTACCAAGTTAAGTTATTAAAATGTAATCATATGCACACACATACACATACATGTATATGCACACAGATAGATGTGCAGAATAAATTTAAAATTTACTTAAATACAGTGACCCCCTAACACTGCAAGATTAATTCATGAGTTTTTATTGCAAGTACTGGTTCATTTTTTTTTTTTTTAAATCTGCGCTCAGTCGTTACCGACTCTGCAGTGACTGCTTGGACG